ACAGAGGACCAGAAACTGACATGCGAGGCTAGAAACACACCCCTACAATCCTAAATCATCATCACAACGAGCAAAATGTACCGAACCGATACTTTCTGTCCTACAGACACTAAACAAATCTCCCTCAGTCAGATTGACAGAAACAGAATTAACTTCCACCTCACATTTCGCGGCGGACCCTGAGAGATCCACACTGAGTCCCACATTAACAAATCACAAAACGTTGAGTTTCCCGACTTGACGTCATTTATACTACCCAATCAGAAACAAGACTTTCCCCCAGCCTTCATTAGCATTGCTGACGCCATCAGGCTATAAAAAGCGAGCTCCGAGACCAGTTTTCCTTATTCTGTGTCTGAAAGTGACCGTCATTATGGCTGATGAGAAGAAATCGCAGCCAACCTCCAAGAAGGGCGCGAAGAAAATCATCAAGAAAGCGCCAGGCAAAGACAGCAAGAAAAGGAAACGATCCAGGAAAGAAAGTTACTCCATCTACATCTACAAAGTGATGAAGCAAGTTCACCCCGACACCGGCATCTCCTCCAAGGCCATGAGCATCATGAACTCGTTCGTCAACGATATTTTCGAGCGTATCGCGGGAGAGGCTTCCCGCCTGGCTCATTACAACAAGCGCAGCACCATCAGCTCCCGGGAGATCCAGACCGCCGTGCGGTTGCTGCTGCCCGGGGAGCTGGCCAAGCACGCCGTGTCGGAGGGTACAAAGGCGGTGACCAAGTACACCAGCTCCAAGTGAGACACCAAATTGTACTGAGAAAATCACATTCAAAACCTAAAGGCTCTTCTAAGAGCCACCCACAACTTCATTGAAAGAAGCTGAGCCATTGTCTCTTTATTACTGATTTGCTTTAGTTTGAATTTGATTCTGGGGAATCGTCTAATTATGCATTTGGCCGTTGAAGTTTGTGCGATAAGTGGTCGCTTTTCCTCTGCACTTTATTTTCGGTTGCGTTCACATACAGTCTCTTCCCTACCTGCAGAGAGAGAGCAAATTAAACCAGCCATTGATGAGCTAATTCTGTTAGTTATCCTTTAATTGTTTCAGAGATAGTAGGAACTGCTGATGCTGGAGAATCTGGGATAACAAGATGTAGAGCTGGATGAACACAGCAGGCCAAGCAGCATCAGAGGAGCAGGATTTTTCTGAAGAAGGGACTCGGTCCGAAACGTCAGCCTTCCTGCTCCTCTGATGCTGCTTGGCCTGCTGTGTTCATCCAGCACTACACCTTGTTATCTCAGTTATCCTTTGATACTCGGTCAGTTCAGGAGCTGCACGGCCTGGTGGAGTATGAACCGTGAAGTTCATCCCTGGGGGAAAGAAAAAGTCTCCCTGTCTTTGAATCCTCCGAATAGATACGTTTTGAGATCGCTGGTCTTTTGCTTTAATTTCCAAATCTCCACGGGAGTTGTGTCCGTTTGTAGAATGCTGTAAATGAGGCTTTCTTCCGTGGGTGAGAGACTTTCAAAATGAACCGAGATAAACCAGAACTGAAACAGCAACTTTGTGCTTTTGCTGAGGTATGATCAGGGACGATAAGGGAGCACGAATTTAAAATATTGTCCAGAAACGGTGTTCGCTGTTAATGCGCTCACCGGGAAGAACGATGTCTGATGTTTTTATCAATATACCGATAGGCTTTTTAAATAAATTGAAAGAAAAAGAATGCTGCAAACTGTGGCCTTTGGCGCTTTGATCTTATTTCCGCTTGTACTTAAAATTCAAAAAATCCCATTAAAGGTCCGAAATTAAATGGACTGAATGAGGTAAAGAGATTGTGTAAAGCGTACATTTGTAAGCTAAAACTAAACTAACTCGTCCGTCTTTACGCATTCCTCTTTTGTACATAGTGGCGGGCTTTTCGAGTATGAAAGAAAGCGGTTGATGATTTGGCGCCGGTATTTTCCGGCCTCCTCACCGGATTGGTGAGTGAAGCAGATATCTGAATGGGAATTGAAACTACATTAGGAGATATTGCACAATGTGACCAATCATCAATAGCCGCACCCCCATTCCTCCCGAAGGTACAAGAGGGCGGAATGTGGGCGCATAGCATCATTCTCTGTGAAAGTGCCTGTGAGATTGTGGCTATGTCTGGGAGAGGAAAGGGTGTTGGTGGGAAAGTTCGCTCCAAGGCGAAGTCCCGGTCGTCCCGGGCTGGTCTGCAGTTCCCGGTGGGCCGTGTTCATAGGCTCCTGAGAAAGGGTAACTATGCTGAGCGTGTGGGTGCCGGAGCGCCGGTCTATCTGGCTGCGGTGCTCGAGTATCTGACGGCTGAAATCCTCGAGCTGGCCGGTAACGCGGCCCGGGACAACAAGAAGACCCGCATCATCCCCAGGCACCTCCAGCTGGCTGTGCGCAACGACGAGGAACTCAACAAGCTGCTGGGAGGGGTGACCATCGCTCAGGGCGGGGTGTTGCCTAATATCCAGGCCGTGCTGCTGCCCAAAAAAACCGGCGCTGGGGGCGCCACTAAAAAGTGAAGAGACTGTTATTTCATCTGACGACCCAAAGGCTCTTTTAAGAGCCACCCACAGTATCTGTGAAAGAAACTAGACCCTCACCACTGCCGAGTTAATTTTAATTTCCGGTAACACAATATTCACCCTGCCATCAGTTAGTGTTACTGAGCTATAACCGCCTGGACGGCATGTATCCATGCGGCAATTTCCTGTAATTGCATTGGAAAGATCCGACACTAGTGGAGGAACATCAATAAATTTAGAAATCGGGAAATAATGACCCCGGTAGCCGCAAAGCGATTCAGTGTCTCTTGACATAATGTTTTCGACCAGATAAAACTATCTGCGGTACTGTACCCCCTCCACATGTGCTTTCTTTCTTCATCTCGGGTCTCTGCTCCCACTATGAGGTTTTGGGTGGCTCTGAAGAGAGAATGGCGGTTGTATGTTTAGAACTGAAGGAGTTATTGAACGTGTGCTGTATTTTGTGTCGAATGTTTGATTTAAAGATTTGATTGTTTCATTTGTTTTATTTCAACATTGGTTTTTTGATGAATAAGCTGAAACGAGTATTTAAAACAAACTAGCATCTAATCGATGGTTCTGGCGATTTAAGTCGAGGATTACTGATACCAATGTTCATGGACGAGAATTTAATCGAGTGGATTGGGGTGATTTATATCTAGATATGCGTGTGAACTGCAGGCTTCAATATCCTTTCGCAATTTAGTGTTGTACTGTTTGCAATGCTCCCTCGGTGGCACTGTATCTTATCACATACAATCACGAGTAAATAGTGAATATGAGACATGCATCTGTACCCAGTGGTGAGATGGGAGTGAATTCATCCACCCAGGAGCTTTATTTGATTGCAATTTTTGTTTTATTTTATATTTAGACAATCGAGATTTGAAAGTCATAACAGGTTAGTATGGAATTGGAGAAACTTTGTTTGTGGAATGAACTCAAATGGCAGATGGAGTTTACATCAGGTAAATGTGAGATGCTACTTTTTGGAAAGCCAAATCAGGCCAGAACTTGCACACCTTGATGGGGAATGTTGCTGAACAAAGAGACGTTGCAGTGCAGATTAATAGTTCTTTGAAAGTGGAGTTGCAGGTAGATGGGATAGTGAGGAAGGCGTTTGGTATGCCTGTCTGTATTGGTCAGTGCATTGAGTATGGGAGTTGGGAGATCATGTTGCATCTTTACAGGACATCTGTTCAGCCACTTTAGCAATACTGTGTGTAATTCTGGTCTCCCTATCATAGGAAGGATGTTGTGAAACTTGAAAGGGTTCAGAAAAGATTTACAAGGATGTTGCCAGGGTTGGAGGGTTTGAGCATGGGGCATGATTTTCTAAGGTGAGTAGCAAGGTATTTTCCCCAGGGTGGCAACATCCAAAACTAGAGGGGGTATAGTTTTAAGGTGTGAGGAGGAAGATAATACGTGACCGATGGGTGACTTTTTCAGAGGGTCGTGCATGTGTGGAACGAGCTGCCAGAGGAGGTTGTGGAGGCTGGTACAATTACAATGGTTAAAAAGCATCTGGATGTGTATATGAATAGGAAGAGTTTAGAGGGATAAGGGCCAAATTCTGGTAAATGGGACTAGGTTAATTTAGACTGTCTGGACCAACTCGTTCATGTCGACAAAAGGGCCTGTTTCCAAGCTGTACAATTCTACGACTATGACAAACAAGTAAATTCAGTGGCTGATCTGACATGTAAGCTTTTCTGTATATTCAGGTTTGAAGCATAGAAAGGAATCCAGGCAGTGTGAAGCACTTAATTATCTCAGAGCACTTCCTGGAAGCAAGTTGTGGGAACAGCATCCTCATCAATCAAAAGCCAAATGACTTCAAACAACTCCCCATGTCCTTCTGCCAAACAAACTGACATTTTCTAAAATGCAAGGAAGTATGAATGAAATAGCTTTTAACATACTTTCCCTGAACAGACAGAATTCCAGCCTTATTTTCCACATATGCAAGATTCAGTTTAACATAAATTAAACCACAACTTTCAATGTCCCTGCACCCATTTCGCATCCCACCCATTGGTTTGTTGTCCATTTTATCAGAATCCCTGTACCCTCCTGAAGTTAGCTCCACTTCTTTTCCTTGTCTACACCATTGCCAAATTGTGTCATCTCAAAACTTATGCTATGACCTGGGATCCTGTGCACAGTCAGCTACTCAAAAAAAAAACTGACTTTATTCCTTCACCATGAATACATTTGTCCCTCACATGGCCATTTAAGCTGTCCCATCATAATTCTGTTTTCCCTGCCTGTACAGAGAGAGAGCATATTACACACCCGAGAGTCATTTTTTAGCTACTTCTGTGTGTTCAAGTTCCTTTTTAATACTCAATTAGTGCAGGAGA